TCTGTTAATGTGCTCCATTGCTAAATATGAACGAACTGTCTGTCTACTTGTCATAGCTGGCTGAATCACCAGGATTGAAAGAGGATTTTAATGCCCATTAAAACCAGATTAAGATCAGCAACTTGCAATAAGCAGCAGTGATGAGAGACGTATTGATGGCAGGAGGTTATAGCTGGTTTACATTAAACAGTTACATCCAGCCTTGACAGCAACACACTCTGGGCACAACATGCCAGGAGCTAACCCCACGCTGCTATAAGTAGGGGTGGGAGGCAGGGAGTGTCCTACGTGAACAAGAAAAGCAAATGAAACGAAAGAGTGGAGCAGCACTGGGTTGCACGCTTGGGTCTCTCCCAGTCATCTCACCTTCCAGATGTATGCGTTGCAGTCACTTGAGCCACTGACCAAGAACTGGTCATCTGGGCTGGTGCTGGATTTGATGTAAAAGGTTGAATTCTGGTGCCCGCTGAAAACCGCCACTGTGAGGAGAAAAGAAAAAAAAGAAAATAAAAGCCCCACTCAATGCACAGCCATGGAGTCGGTTGTGCAAGCAGGGCTGATCTTACAGGCTTTTCCTGCCTAGCCACATATCCACTGGAGAAAGTGGTTGCACTGCTCCCTTGCTCTTGGGATCTGGGGCAGGAAGTCTTTGTTATTCAACTGGAGCCCTTCAGGCTTCCCAAACGAAGCAGGTTTACCTGAACAGCTCTCTCCACAGCATTAGGAAGCAGTGGCAGTTTCATAAAAACTTTAGCTTCACCCACGTCACAAGCAGGCCAAGACATCACCCGGGCTGCCCCACTACTCTGAGTAAGGTTCCTCGTCTCTTCCTCTCTCAGCCACCACCATCAGCCCCGCTACAGGGGTGGCTGCACAGAAAGCATAGCCAGGGCCTTCTTCCACCCAGGTGGCCACGAAGGCGCTTGCTGCCCCTTCCTCCTGCTGCCAGCATCTTTATTTCATCAACAAGACTTGCATTGTGTCAGCCATGCTCGCTGGTTGCCTTTATTTAAAGCCTCAGTAGTGTTTGCTAAAGCCTTGAAACCATCACCCCAAATGGCTGCCGTTTCTCCTATTGCAAGGACCAGAGGAGCCAGCACAGGAGCTAGTGTACAGCACTTGGCCACACTACATCCCGTCCTCTCATCAGGGCAGAAAGGGTGAGTTTCCTGATGTATTGCCAGGCGGGGCTGGCACCCCCTTGGACCAGCCATGTTTTAATATTGTTTTTGGCGAAAGAGGTGACCCACAGGCCAGCGGACAGGTGATGGCCTTTGGAGGTCTTTGAAAAGTTGCGAGACCCCAAAAGATCCCTTGGTTTTTACCTGCAGCTCTCAGCACTGCGGTTACAGGACAGTGAGTCCTTTCCTAAGCCAGACCTACCAGCAAGTCCTGTTACAGTGAGGATTTCCCACGTCCCCCTGCAACCTAAAGCTGCCTACATACCAGATAAGCGCAGCTGCAATTGGGATGAAAGCCAGTGAGTGAGGCGGGAGGCACCAACCCATGGGCAGGCGCTGCCCTCTGCGGGAACAGCGGCACACTGAGAAGCCGCACATGTTTCATCCAGCTGGATGAAATTGAGATTGCTCGCTGGTTTTTATCAGCTGCATAGAGAAGGCAAGAGCTCCATGAGGAGGCCGAGGACAGGATGCCCTGTGCTTTGGAGAGAGCCCACTCCTGCGGGGGGACAGGCCGGTGAGTGTATTTCCACAGCTCAGCAGCGGCACCCAGGGTTAACCTCAACAGCTGACCTATTAATACTTACTACTTGCACCACTTCTCGACTCTGGAAGTGTTCCCACCCACCAGACTGCCTTCCTGAAGAGCAGACAGAAGGACACATTGTTCGTTTAATTTCAATTAACCAAGAGACTGAGAAAAGGCAATGGAAACTAAATCACATGCCCAGCTGGAATGCATCTAACAAGTTTTGCTGCTTTCTGAGAAGCGGCCTCTGGCCTATTACATAGCAGTTTAGTGCACCGAAGTCTGCGGGCCGTCCTGTCAACGCAAAGGTCACAGATGCAGAGTTGAAGGAATCTAAAAAGCTGAAGCATCTCCACAATATGCTGGGGATGCTTTCTCCCAGAAACTCCGGTAGAAGCTAAATTTAAAAGACAACTTAAAATATCTGAATACAACCATTTTTCATAGATTCATATCTAAGAGCTTGAAAAATCAGCGATTGCCAGTAAGCAGAAGATTCAAACTTGTTTCAAGTGGGTAGGAGCTGGACACTAGCCATTCCTCACCAGGTAACGTGCAAACTACCCTTAATCTCAGTCTGGGTGAACCAGTGTCTGCACTTATGTAAGTTTTTGTGCTATTAATTTTATGTCAATGGCCTAACATGAAACATGAACAGCCCTTGTAACAAGTGCCTTCTCTCCCAGGTTGCTTTAGACATAAGAGCATGGAATAGGTTTCCTAAGCCTTCAAGCTGGTCTCTCTAAGTCACAGAGAGAATCTTACCTTTCTATGCTCTGTAACCTTTATTTTTTTTCAGCTAATTCCACAGATCATCATGCTTACCTGGAACAGTCCTTAAACTCGTCATATTGAACATGTAGATACTGTCATCAGTGCAGTTAGCAAACAGATTAGTACCGGTGGAATCCAAAACCAGGCTTGAATATCCTATAGACAAAGAGAGTTGTTCTTCAGAAGAAATAACTCCACAAAAAACATTTTGGAAAACAGGCATTCTCAAAGAAATGCCTAGAGAGGGACATTTGGAAAGGTTCTCTATCATGTATGAGATTGTCATTGGAAAGGTTTTTGTTTGAGCACTTTCTAGAATAACATCTACATTTTCTCATCAGGATTCAGGCTGATATTTAGAGAGGAATCTCACCTTCAGAGCAGGCAAGCGATTTATTTGATAGTTTCAAATAGATAACAGGAACAACCAATTGTAGAAGCAGAGATTAATAATAAATAGAAACCCTCATGCTTTGGTAGCATAAGCTATCCTCTGATTTGCTAGTGATTTAGGTTCAAGAAAAATCTTTCCCTGCAGGCAAATCATTTCACAACCAGCTCCTCAAGGATTTCCCTCATGTTCTTGGGACTGACACTGACCATCACCACATCAAGATAGTTGATTAGCCAAGCCATCAGGAATTACTGTGTTGCATCAGAGCACTGTAAGGCATTACACTGGAACAGGTTGCCCAGAGAGGTAGTGGGGGCTCCATCCCTGGAAGCATTCAAGGCCAGGTTGGACGGGGCTCTGAGCAACCTGAGCTAGTTAGCAGTGTCCCTGCTCACTGCAGGGGGGTTGGACTAGATGACCTCTAGGGGTCCCTTCCAATCCAAAACATTCTATGATTCTATGATTAAGATACAAAGAAGCACAGAGCAACACGAACAAGAGCACTATTGTTTTTGATAACAAACAGCTTCAAGTATTGCTCAACTCTGGAAGGTTATAATGTAAAATCCCAGTCCAGTCTGTTGTCTTCGCAAGATACAATGCAAAGAAAGAGTTCAATCTGATTTCTACTCATGCATCAAAACCACCAGCTAAAAATTCTGCCTCAAGAGCTCTATTATTCCCTTATCTCCATTTCTGAAAATGCACTGCTGAAGCTTATGCAAGTTTTTGTCATTGGTGCAATGATACAAAAGTGGGGCACTCCCACACTTCAACTTGAAAATTTGGTATTGGCAATCAAAATATCCTGCTGACCTTGTCAGTCTGATCAATAACTGGCTAAAAAGATAAGAGGTGGCACTGTCAGTACTTCTTAAATTCACTTTGCACTTTAATGAATACACCTTCCAGTAACGTACCAAGTTTGCGAGTACTGGTCCCAGGGTAGCAAAAAGTCTTGAAAGGCACTGGGTCCTGACGGTAAGCTGCATAGTTCTTGCGCAAGTCCCATACTTTGATCACACTGAAATAGAAAAGCACAAGTGTCTTCAACTTCAAAATTTCTTTTGCAATGGTGATAGGGCCTTCTAAGAGCACAGGAAGACAGGTTGCTCATTACTGAGGAGTGTCCACTGCTAAGGAACACAACTGAGCAAGAGTAGGGCAGAGACATGCCGAAAGCAAAACAATTGCTCTGCTGATTATGGATAAGGTAACAGCATTGTCTTCTGTCACTAACACAAGATACAACATGAGCCTGCAAGTCAACTCTCTTCAACTAATAAAAGGAAATACAAGGATGCCTTTATACAGTTTTAAAAATCAAGTCCTTCAAGGTTTTTCTTGCTCTCCAGGAGCAAGCCTCTGTCATGAGCCATAGGCAGGAGAGCCAATCTTATCTGCCTCAGAAAGGCTCTGATCACATGGAGCCTGCTAAAGAATTGAGTTCTGAGGGTAATTGCCACATTAATCAATGAGACAGTTTGCTCGAGCTCCAAGATGCTGCAACAGATCTGGCACCTAAAAGAAGGCATCCTTTGTAATTCAAGGCAACATTTTCTCAAGCATGCCTACACATATCCAGGCACCAACCACCCACTTGCATCCCCAAAAAACTCACTGTCTAACAATAGTCTGTTTACTTGAGGTCCAACAGGTCCATGAGAATAGAGAAAGATGATAAGAACTGCTCTCGTTCTGCCCCATAGCTAAGAGACTAAAATGAGCATTTAGCACGTGCACAATTTGTGCCAGCACTGCCATCTCCAGTAAGAAAGAAAAGTAGCATTCAGCTTTGCCAAAGCAAGCTGGCAGTGTAGCTTTGCTGATTCTACCTAATAGTAACTGTAGCTTTGTGGGCCACTGTGTGATCTTAGGAAAAAAAAATCACTGAATCTTTTCGTGCCACTAAGAACATGCAGAACAGACAGAAAAGCAGGTGTCCTCCCTCCTTACCCATCAACAGCTCCTGCAGAGATAAGAGTATGCTCATCCTGAAGCAGCACCACAGTTACACTCTGCTGGAAATCCTTAAAGGGAAAAAAAAAAAAAAAAAGAGAAAGAAAAACTGCACAACTTTATTTTCTTTCAAGGTCAGCAAAATCTTGCTTCTTAGTCCAAGGCCAAGTGAATACCGAGAAAACCTCCTCCTAGCCAGGCAGGAGAACCTGGAAACACCAGATGCCATTTAAGACACAACATTCCTTCAAACACTCCCACCAGTGAAGTTGCCACTTAGCGGTAAGTGTTTGGGCAGCAGTTTGAAGTTACACTTTTCAGGTCAGACGTAAGAGCTGCCTTCATCACAAGGTCTTACTCTAGTAAGGCAGTCATTAGTGTGATCAAACTAGGGGAAAAAAGGAAAGAAAAAAAAATTATAACCCTCCCTATCTTCCCCCCCCCAAAAAAAAAGAATGTGGGACTACTCCTTTCCTCTCTGGAAAAAAAGACGTATTTTCACATTGCATTTGCACAAAGATGGCTTTGATGGCACGTGGGTTGTCAGACAACTAAACAGTGTCTAAAATTAGCCAAGGCAAATGACCATGACACAAAAACCCACTTCTGCATAGATAAATTGAAGCATTTACCACATTCAAGCCAAATATTTCTCACAATAATTACTTAGGAAAACTTCTATGAATAACATCCTCAGAAGACAGGCCTACATTTCCTTTGTTCCCCAGATACCTACCACCAAGGGAGCAAGTCCTTTTAGGTTCTGCCTCTTCTTCTTCAGTTTGGAAGGAGTCTGCTTGTCAACCACATTGTGTGCTCCACTGATTTGATTCACTTGCCTGTAAAATCCATCTGAAAGAAATCAAAGACATCTCAATTAGTAGTTTCTATGCAATTTTGCCATCACTTTAATAAAACAGGCAGCAGCTTGGAAAAAATCCTAAAAAGTGTCTGAGACTAACCTTTAAGATCATTAATGTATTCTGAAAGATTGTTATTTATGTATGAAACCAATGAGAACACAGTAGAAAACAGGAGCATATATGCAAAAAATCGCAGCGGTCAATGTAGAGTGGACACTGAAGCTAGAACTGGCCTAAGCAGGCTGTGTTTGGAAAACATTACCCCTTGGTCTGGTCTTCAGCATGCATCTGGAGTGTTCAAACCATTTCATCCCGAGCAGAACTGTACTCACAGGTGGGTTTCCAGTGCTTTTACACTCTACTTCATAATTTTCTCTTGAGTCTTTTGTCTGCTACTTCTCACTTTATGAAATTTTCTGCTTTACTGGAGTAAAGTGACTTTTCTATTTTTTTTCCTTTACCTTCCACTTCAGTCATGTGGAGCCTCCCTTTTCCCCCACTTTGCCAGTTTGAAAAGCCAGGGAACCTGGGACAGATGAAAGAGTGATACATGTTCTGGCAGCCTGGGCCAGGAAACTTCTGGGACAGAGCAGGGAACTGGGAAGAGGCATATGGGCATGACCTGACCGGGGAAGGAAAAGCTCCAGGAAACAGAAAGAGAGGAGCAGAATGAGCTCACCCTGCATTTAGTAGGGGTTCCCACAACACATTCAGTTGCTCCCAGTACTCACAAGCTCCTTTGTTCCTGCACTTTCTGCCTTCCTTCCTACCCTGGCAAGAGTCTTCCCAGCTTTGCTTCATCCCTCAGAATGGTTCTGACCTAAGTAGTCTCTCTCAGCCCACCTACCTCTGTGATGTCCTACACAAGGATGTATTCTGTACCCCCTTATCTCCTTACCAATACACAGGGTATTATCAGGATAGCATGTATATCATGCTGCAAATCTGAGACTGTTACAAAGTGGAAAAACATATTAGACACAGAAGAAATAACTATTCCACCCTTTTACTGTACTAAAAGCAGTCCACTGTTATCTGACAATCTTCTTAACTGAAGCATTTCCTATATTGTAATCGAAAGTAATTGTAATCGATTAGTCCAACATGTACATCTAAGTAGTATTTTTACATGAGATACCAAGCTTTTTTGATACATATCTGAAAGTTCAGTTACCTTTCTTGTTGCATCTGGTATCCCAAACCATGATGTTTCCATCTCTGCCTCCAGTACAGAAGACAGCTGAGAGAGAGAAAAAGAGTGCTATTAGCTTACAAAAGTGTTAATTTAATGAATTGAATGCAGTACGATGCCATCTATGTGCCTCTGGCTCTTCTGCCCCAACACTTGAGATGCCAGTCCTAGAAATACAAAAATCAGTGTTCTGCCATGCTTTTTGACTAGTTTCCTTACTCTTCCTAGTCTTTCTTTACTACTACTCTAGAGAAAACAGCTTATGAAAGAGTATTTACATATGTATGGAAGTAAGGGCTGAATGATTTCAATATCATGTCTTAAACTTGCCCAAGATCAGAAATGTGCAGATGTTAGCATAAGGTCACCATGAAGTTGCAACAAGTTAGTTCTGCTTCACTGGATAGGTTGCTGCTCAGTCTGCCTCTGCTATTTGTAACTGTCAGTTTCCAAAGCCCTTTTTTAGCCCCCAAAGTACCAATGTACCGGGGGAAAGAAGAAGGAAAAAACAGACAACAGGGAATATCACCATTTACCTTTCTCAAATCTAGAAAAACCAACTGACTTGAGGCTACACTGGTGACCTTTGCATATGCCAAGAAGCTCCCCGGCTCTCACATCCCACACCTTGGCTGTCTGATCTCCTGAAGCAGTGACCTTCAGAGGAAAAGATAAAAAGCTTTAGTCATTTTCTAAACACAGTTGCCAAAGCATTAAAAATAAAGTTAGACGGCAAAGGACTACTTACAATCTTGTGTTCTCCTGGTACCCAGGCAAGGTCAAACACAGCATTTGAATGAGCCTGCCACTCTAACAAGAAAACAAAAGCCAAGATTAATTCAGTGCATTGCAGTATGATATTTTGCAGGAATCTAAAGACCATTAGACAGTGAAATCAGAAAACCTGTGAACAGCTTGCCTTAGGCATGAAAACCAACTATTCACCTATTACTGCTGTTCTAAGAGCACACTCACGCTGCTGCTTTGTAAAGAAGACTCAGCAAAGTATATAAAGGATTTAAGTACTGCCCACACTTACGTTTAAATGACTTGCAAAAGGCTTTCTTGGATTCCAGTAAATCACATACTTGTCACATCAAATGAAGATCATATTCTATATAATATTTACCCTTAAAGATGAGTTTGCTGGTAGTTTGAGCTTCAGTATCATAGAGTCTAACAAATCCTTCTTCATTTGCAACTGCCAGTACATGCTCCAAATTCGGGGCTGAAGAGAAATTGAAAGATATTTGTATACTATGTAGCTGATTCATAATCATGCCCCTGCTCTTTGTGAAGGGCCACAGACGCTTTAAACAGGGTGTACAACAAACAGATAGCTGTGAAATAAAAAGTACTTACATAGCAATTTAGATGTTCAAAATGCAGAAATATCGGCAAGCATTTTTTTTCTAGATGTTCCATTCAGGAACACACATGGGCACTCAAATGGCTCCAGGAGCAACTTTTGAGATAATGGCCTCTTTCACCAGCTATAATAGTTCTCTGTATCTGTACTACCTATCACCTACAACCTCCAGTACTTTCTACGGATCTGAGTTGAAAAAGCAGGAAGCTGCCTTGGAGAAACGTGTAAGCTCCACCAAAACCAGAGTACTACGAACAAAAGATTTTTGCCCTCAAGATCCAGGAGCTTCCACATTTGCTTCACTCATCATGTATTTATCATGGGGAAACGCTACATGTCACAGTCTAGTGACACCCATCCACCTCTTTGATTTCTACATACTATTCTCCATCCTATTATGTCTGTTACATATTTTGAACAAAGCCAAATTTTTTTACTATAGAGCCTAGCACTGTCACCAAGGGGACATACCTTGAAACAGACAAAGCTGAAACAAAGAGGCATTAAAATAAATGCTTTGTAGTTGCTTCTTTGAGAGAATACATCCCACTGGTAAATCTAGGAGCAGCATGATCCAATTTATATCACATCTAGGTGCAAGTACATTATTACCAGCTCACTTTAAAACAAGAAACTCTGAAACCAAATTACGGAATCATGGAATCATTTGGTTGGAAAAGACCTTTAAGATCATTGAGTCCAACCGCATGTGTCTACCTACTAAACCATGTCCCTAAGCACCACACCCACCTGTCTTTTAACTACCTCCAGGGATGGGGACTCGACCACCTCCCTGGGAAGCCTGTTCCAGTGCTTGATAACCCTTTCAGTAAAGAAATTTTTCCTAATATCCAACCTAAACCTCCCCTGGTACAACTTGAGGCCATTTCCTCTCATCCTGTCACTTGTTACTTGGGAGAAGAGGCTGACCCCCACCTCGCTACACCCTCTTTTCAGGCAGTTGTAGAGGGTGATAAGGTCTCCCCTCAGCCTCCTCTTCTCCAGACTAAACAACCCAGGCTCTCTCAGCCACTC